CATTACAAAGAAATACGCCGTATTGAAACAAGAAACTGTAACCCGAGAAACATTGGCAAAGAGATCATTGACGAAATACGACTCCACAAAGCCAATTAATAACGAAGACGGTCTAATTTGTCTTTGTCTGTCTAGCGTCGATCATTATTATCTCTTCATGTGTCGATTATTTCCGACGGAGTAGTTTATTATCGTAATTGCCATACTGAGGCAGGATGTCCTAGTGGCAAGTCATTTAACAACGCCATTAAAAAGAACTTACAGTTTCACTACACGGAAAAACACTTATGTTTCAACAACGTGGGGAATCCATTTGGAAAGTGTGCAACAAAAGCGATAATTGGTAATAATGTAGAGATAAGCCCAACAGGTCCGAAGCATTTATATACAGTACCCCTGGGATATGAGTCATCCTTGAAACATGGCATGGTAACCCAGGCGTTGCTGACAGTGCAATCACAGTCGCCACCTGCCGCACAATATACATCAACAATTATATGGTGAAGCGACAAATCAGTCATGTCTTTGGTAACAAGCGACACATGCTGTTCTATTACGATTTCAATAGATACTGATTCAGCAGGAAAGCTTTTCTACTTTTCCACAAGTATGATACTATACTACTAGTATGATTATGTATTCAATCTGATTAAAATAAGATCTTAGTTTGGGCTTTTTTTAATTTGTGTTTTATTATTTATTTTTATTATACATATTCTTTCACTTATTTTATTTAAATTATTTTGTTATTTACTGGCATTTTTTTTTTAAATTTTGGTAATCGCGCAAACCCACAAGGATCTGGCCTAAGACCGGCCCAAATGAATCCCGTTCAGATCTTGTATTAGCTACAGCCAATCACAGCTAGCCTTTTATTTTGGCCGACGGAGTACTCATTTGGAGAAATACCGAGTCACAGTACATAACAAAACACATATAAAACAAAATAAAGCCGTATAATAATCGGATTTTAATCATATTGATTGTGTATCGTGCTGCTACGTAGTATTTTAGGTATATTTGTATAATTAATACTAAATACAGAGATATTTTGTATTTCGCGTTTACAAAATACTGACAAAAACTATGACAGTTACATTTACTAAAATTAACAGATTAAGCAATCACTTACATTGCCAGTGCACTGCACCGAACGTATGTTAATTTACATACACACAAAAGATATATTGTATGCGCTGTCCTTTGTTCATGAATAATTTAATACTTACAATGTGACATAGGCATAACCTATCTAATACCCATTTTCAGAAACTTCCATCGGAAATATCTCAGTCATCGGCCAACTTTTTCAATAATTGAGGAAGAAGTTTATCTCCTCAACACGATACAGACGTTGCACTGCGACTAAAGCTGATCACTCCCAGCAAAATGCAAGGTGTGATTTACAATTATAGCTGTTTACAAAATATGCCGCTGTTACGTAGCTAAGACAATGCCGGTTTTCAAAATGCCACAGTTATCTGTAGCGATTACACGTAGCATATGAATGCATTTGTAGTAATCACACTCTGCATATGAATACAAGTGTGGCTGGTTTACAATTAGCATAAACACAAAGAGACACGTGTGGATTTACTAAAATAATCCGACGACCAGGACAATGGAACACATGACAAAGTGTGATGTAAGTATAATTAATAGCACGTGTTGGAGTTTGCAACTGTAAATGTGATATTTCATGTCAGCGTTAGACCAAAGGTTCGACGTTGCATATGAACCCGATATATAACCGACATGCAATTTGATCAAGACAACATGCACATCGCGTCTACTGACAGCAGAGTCACGAATCTGAAGATGAATATTTAGTACATCAAAATGGAACGACATCATAAGACAATTAACCCGATGAACTCGTTTTATCGATTGAGAACTCATAAAGTGTACATTTAAACTACAGCTACTTTTGAAATGTAATCATATGAAAACCCTATAAAATTGATTCAAAGGTTTATATTTTAATTAATGAAAACGATATTTCGAGTTATGGCGTGTTTCGGTCAGTTCGTTGGATTCTCTGTTTTCAAGCGTTCTGATGTACTATCGAACTTTTACGCGACGATATCACCCCCGCCCTCCCCTACGCAGACAAAATTGGAACGTTTCTACAGCAAAACGCACAAGGTTCTAAGGTATCGGCAAAACTCAAAACGTGTTTGTTCTTATATTGTGAAATATATAATATTTCATAGTTCATCATGTTCAGGAATATGCCTTGCGCGATGTCATATTGGATATCGTATCAGAATTATCCTTGGCACCATCTTAATGTCATGATAGGCGTCTGAATTCCCATTGATGTAATAGAGGGCGCACGTTTTCATGGCTTAAAGGGCGGTAGTCGTATGCCACGCATGAGCGAGATATATGGGTCTCATATAAACAAAGATGGCAGCTTTGACTGTTGCGCAGATCAATGAGTACAAACTAAGACGTTACAAAGTTTTGATTAAGTATTTTTAGATTATTGGAAGGTATCGAAGAATTCCTCAGCGGTAATTAGTGCAAGTCGCACCCAGGTCAAATCTCATACTTGCGATTTCCATTAGAAGAGTGCATTGAATTGTGTTTATCAACACAAATGTCGCACATGCGCAGCGCGACGACTGCCATCCTTTAAGCAAAGTATGTCGTACTGGCCAACTCGTACACAGGCCAATTCCTGAACTGGCCTTATTTAAGGGATTATCCTTTCCTAACTTAGAACAAAACACAAAGTCGTTTTTTCGTAGAAAGAGCGTTATGGTTAGCGAAAATGGTAGGTAGGGGTTGTTTTCTCCCATTCTTCCATGGCAACCTTTCATAACTGTATGAAATTTTACTAGATTTGAATGCTAGATCGTGCCATTATAATTCCGCAATTTGCATATTTATCTTATATATGGAGTCTATATTTTCCCTCACCCAAAAACTATCGTTTTAACACTTTGTTTGGATAAAAATATGAATGAAAATAATTTATCAACATCTGGTATTTTGTTTCCATGGTGACAGTCCGCTGTTAAATATTCTCGTGTATAACTTTACATATTGTATGCTGGTTAAAAAGACGGGGTCCATAATATATTTGAACTGAAACAAGTACAGGTGTGGCGATTTGTACATTAACATTTTATGCAAACACATAATTTGCATATTTATTAACATCCATAAAACATATTCCTCGTCCAAAAAGTATCGATTAACAATGAGAGATCAATAACGTTGCAATTACAAGATTCTCATTTACCCGCCAAAAAAGATGCGAAGTGAAAATGATTGAAAATCGGAAATATTATGTTTCCATGTTTACAAACCAATGTTAGATGCCACGTACATGGGATACTCGTATATTCATTGACACTGAAAAAGTTTACACCACGGTGATGTCAGGATAGAATAGTATTTGAGGGGAAACTCCAAGTCTTAGCCTGACAAGGTCGCGTGAGATGAGCCCTCCGCGGTGGTCCAAACCCAACACACGGGTCTGATGCCGTTCGGCCGGCGAGAGCGCCACTCACGCCTACATATTAGGCTACCCAAGTCTACGATCTATTCTTATTTTATTGTCTAAATATTTCACTTCATAGCAGCTACAAATCCGTGTCAGT